TGCGCGGGTGCTGGGTAAGCAGTGGCCGTTGCTTAAGCCCCGCACCCTGTCCTTGCCCCACAAGACCCACCCTGGAGGGGGAGGACAGCAGACAGCCTACATTTTATCCATAATTACTATTAATTATGGATCACGCCATACTTTTACAAGCTCATTTTGCATCTAAGTAGAAAAAAGTCAGAAGAAAGTCGGCTCTGGCCCTGGCAGCATGGTGGTGCCGGCATCCCGGCCCCCCGCCCGCGGCTCACCTGGTCCCTGCGTGCTGCTGCTTCTCCCCAGTCTGCAGCTGGTGCAGAGGGTGTCGTGGTACTGGTTGCCCTGCACATTGGTCTCCTTCCCCTGCTGCTCGCAGTCCTGGTGCGGCTGGCACGGCTTGGTGCTGGAGTTGGAGGAGGAGAAGAAGCCGCGGGGGCAGGCACGGCACTGGGTGTTGTCGAAGGGGGTACCTGCGCGCGGGGAGGCAAGGGGACCATCAGCCCGGGGGGACATCAGCAGCCAGTTCTCAATTCAGGAATAAAACCCAGTCCTCTGTGACCACCAAATTATCTCACAAACACTGTTCTCCGTGCTCTGAAAGCTTGCAGAGAAAGCGAGGAGCATACCCCTTCTCTCTGCTCTCAGGAGCAATCAGCAAAAGGCATCCTGAGCAGCTGATCTCCAGCGAGTTTTTCCTTTTCCCAGTTAGGAAGCTTGTCTTGATTCATGAATAATTAAGACTCTTTTCAGTGGTGCCCAGTGACAGGACAAGGGGCAACGGGCACAAACTGAAGCAGAGGAAGTTCCAGCTGAACATGAGGAAGAACTTCTTCCCTCTGAGGGTGAAAAAAAAAAGAAAAAGGAAAGTCGCTGAGAAGGTGAAAGCTCCCGGCAGTTCCCCACCCCGGCGCCCGGCCGGACCCGCTGCTTCTGCACAGGGACGGTGCCACGCCGGCGAGATGGCACCCGGCCGTCCCGCACCTTCCGTGGGACGAGGGGGAACGGCCCTGACAGCAGCAAACGTCACCCCTCCTCATCTCCTCTTCATCTCCTCCTAGCTAAGAACGAGCTCTCGACCTCGTCACGCTTTCGGCCATCGCTTTGGCTTTACTGGGAGCAGTCCCAGTCAGCCCAGCTGCCAGCCCCAACACCCCAGTCCATGTTTGCGAATGGGAAGCCCACGAGAAGCCCGCGAGAAG